AATTGGATCAAGAGATACTACCTGAATGTCCGTGGCTTCTTTCCTCATGAGCCCTTTGTTTTAGAAGTAATGGAGTGTGGTTATCAATCTGGAGGCAGCAGGGGAAAGGGGTGGATGCTGCAACCAGCCTACCTGAGTTTAAATCCTTTCTGGGCCAATCAACATGCTACCTTAGGTAACTTGCATATCTCTCTAGGCCTCAGCTTCTCCTTTTGTAAAATGGATACAGTAATATAATAGTTCATATCTCATAGAATTACTGTGAGGATTCAGTGAGTTAAAAATATTGTAGAGGCAAGTGCTGTGGCGAAGTGCGTAAAGCTGCCACCTGCACTACTGGCATCCCATATGGGTGCCGATTAGAGTCCCGGCCACTCCACTTCCAATCCTGCTCTCTGCTATGGCCTGGGAAAGAGGTAGAAGATGGCCCAAATCCTTGGGCCCCTGCACCCACATGGGAGACCTGGAAGGAGTTCCAGGTTCCTGACTTCGGATTAGCCCAGCTCTGGCAGTTGCAGCCATTTGGGAAGTGAATCAGTGGATGGAAAACCTCTCTTTCTCCCTTTCTTTCTCCCTCTCTTTCTCCTCTCCCTCTCTCTCTCTTCCTCTTCCTTCTGGCTCTCTGTAATGCTGTCTTTCAAATAAATAAATACATCTTTAAAAAAATATTTGTGCTTAGCACAGTACCAGGGACACCCTATAGGAAGTAGAAGATTAAAAGCTAACACTGGTGCACTTTTGAAAAAGTAGCAACTTGAGAAACTCTTGGTACCTTAAGTGGTCTTTAAGGACAAGAGTGTTTCTGTATTGTCAAGACCACCAAAAATAAAGAAGTAGGAAGCAATCTGGAGGTACAAGCTGCATTTCAGGCATATTCCTTTTTTAAAAAGTATTTATTTATTTTATCCCTGCTTAGTATATACTAAGTTGATCTTCAATATATGAAGGTAATTGAAAATGAAACGTGATGAAGGGCGGGATGGGAGAGGGAGTGGGTGAGGGGAGGGCCACGGGAGGGAGGGAGGTCGGGGGGGGAAGCCACAACAATACAAAAGATGCATTTAAAAAAAAGTATTTATTTATTTTAAAGACAGAGTGACAGAAACAAGGAGGGGAAGAAACAGAGAGAGAATCTTCGACCTGTTGATTTACCCTCTAAATGACCACAATAGCCAGAGTTTGGCCAGTGCAAAGCCAAGAACCAGGAGTTTCATTTGGGTCACACATGTGGCAGCTGGGATGCAAGTACCTGGGTGTCGCTCCCCCTCTTCGTGGAGGAACGACACTAAACCCTGACTAGGCTTCATATCTGAGTCACGGCACCATTATGTCACTCCCCGTCTTCGTGGAGGAACGACACAGGACCCTGCGCTGTTCTTTTGTCTGCTCGGCCCTCCCCGGGTTTGCTGCTGGTTCTTCCCGGGTTGGCTACCGTCCCTTCCACCTCCGTGGAAGGGCAGTTCCCCCTGCCACTTTCCCCACTTCCGCGGGGGAGCGGCACACCGCCGGCCGGCTCTCTCGGGGGCTGCTCAGATGTTATCCGGATGTTCCTCTTAGATGTTCCTGGTGCATGTTGTCTCTCTCCTCCTTTATAGTCCTCTTCCACCAATCCCAACTCTGCTACCCACACGCCGAGTACGCTGCTCTCCTTCAATCAGGAGCAGGATCAGCTCCTGCAGGTCATCACTCAAGTTGGCGAGAGGCAGCTGCGTAGAAGTTGTTACTCCCTTCTCAGCGCCATATTGTGGGAGAGCAGATGCATAGAATAAGTCTTAATTCCAGTAACAGTCTAGTCCGAGTTGCTCCCCACACCTGGGCTACCACCTGCCACTTCCTGCTTGTGCATTAGCAGGAAACTGGATTGGAAACTGAGGTGAAACTTGATCCCAGGCACTCTGATATGGATGTGGATGTTTTCAAACAGGTGCTCTGTGGGGAGCAACTCGGACTAGACTGTTACTGGAATTAAGACTTATTCTATGCATCTGCTCTCCCACAATATGGCGCTGGGAGAGGAGTAAACAGCTTCTACCCAGCTGCCTCTCACCAACTTGACAAGCTGCAGGAGCTGCTCCTGATTGGAGGAGAGCGGCGTGCTCGGCGTGTGGGCAGCCGAGTTGGGATTGGCGGAGGAGGACTATATAGGAGGAGAGAGACGGCATGGTGGTGTGGGTTGGTTGGAGAGTGCGTTGGAGAGTTCGCGGGGAAGTTCGTTACTTCGTTCTTTCTCATTTCTCTCTACTCATTCTTGCTTTGGGAGTTTGCTGTTTACTTATTCTTACTTTACTATAGAAAGGACTTGTAAAAAAAGGGAACAACAAGCGCCCGGTCCGGTGCAGCTCCTCCGCGTGCGGAGGAGCGGCAGTGCTCAACCTGTTGTGCCACAATAGGAGCCCTAACTCAGGCATTTTAGCTGAAATGGAAACTTGAGGGGTCTCAGACAGGTCATGTTTTCCAAAGACCGGGAGGTCAATGTATCCTAGGTGTATGCTTTAATATTAGGAAGACCATAAATACGATCATGGTCGTGAACTTTGCATACTAAGTTGGAGAGCTAACAGTTAAATTTTAATTTCTTCCACATAGTCTCAAAAGCTACAGAAAGTATTCATTAGTATTTTATTTTAAAGAGGACTGCCCGGTTGGCAAACATCTTTGGAATAAATCAGGTATTACAACTTTATTGAATTATGGTTTTATCACTAATTCTTTCAACTCAAAATGACTATTATCGCCTCTGAAAGATTTAGTGAGATTTAGTTAATTTTTATTTCTTCCTACAATATAATTTGATTAGTTATCTTATAGCAGTTTCAAAATATTTCATCAATCTTAGTCTATACTTTTAATTTATGCAGTGGAATTTACTTGTTCACCGATGTGAGTAATTTTCAAAATCTTGCCAAATAGCCTGTGGCAACTGAAAATACAAGTTGCATTCATTAAGACTTTGCTGTGTGAGTGCCATGCAACAAAGACAAATTATGTCTGAAATCCACCTTCATTGAGTTGCATGCAGTCACAACTAATTCAAAAGTACTTTTTTTGGTCTGTAATTAAGAAAACAAATTTGACCTACATAGTTAGGAGGCAAGTAGTAGATAGAAACATATTCTATGGGTGTAACAATTTTCAGTTCCATTTTATTTTGTTATTTGATAGCCACAATACGACTAAATGGTTTCATATTATATGAAGATGCCTCAAAAAGCTTATGGAAAATGAAATTGAAAGATGTTTATCATGGTGCAAAAAAATCTATGCATAGTTTTTCTTAATATACATTTTCCATATGCCCTCTTGAGGACCCCTCATATGCAAGGATTTTGAAACTTTTTCCACCAAAACAAATGTTATCTTTTTATTCTATTTTCCATGAACTTTTTTCAGTACCTTCATGTATCATTCAGCTTGTTCCAGAACTCTTTATATCAGTTCCAATCAGTGGTTGTAGATCACTTTTATTTTTCTTATGTACCCTGATTGTACAGTTCAGTCAATGGAAGGAATGCTCTCTGGTAGCTCAGTACATGTGACTCACTGTCATGGCCACAGAGTGCTAAAAATGTGGTGTCTACAGTGATGTCCCTCTGTATTGTAGATAGTCAATAAGAAGATCAGGACCTGGGATGTCATGTGCCTTCTGGCATCAGTAATTCCGAGCTCTACTAGAAGGTACTAAGTGTGGCCACTAAGGTGCCTGACTGGACCTCTGCTTCCTCCACCAGGTGCATAGCACACAGCATCTCAGAAGCTTTGTGTCAGTGCTAGTTGCAGTGGGTCGCAAAACAACCTATATATATGGTCAGTTCTGAATGGTTGTAAAATACTTTTTATATATTTACAGGTTTCTAAACAATTATTTCAAGTTTAAAATAATTTATAAAAGGAAAGTTTATGGAAATAAATTCAAATTTTTCATAAATATGAAATGATTTATGCGGATTTTTATGTATAGTATTTAATCATTCTAAGATTTTTCTATTTCATTTTTATCATATTGCTATAATAAAAAGGGGACACAGTTATATTCCTAAAAAATATTTATTTATTTATTTGAAAGGCAGAGTCACAGAGAGGTTAGAGACAGAGGGAGAGGTCTTCCAACTGCTGATTTGCTCCCCAGATGGCCCCAAACGCTGAGCTGGGCTGGTCTGAAGCCAGGAGCCAGTGGCTACCTCCAGGTCTCCCACGTGGGCGCAGGGGCCCAAGCACTTGGGCCATTTTCCACTGTTTTCCCAGACCACAAACAGGGAGCTGGATCAAAAGAGGAGCAGCTGGGATAGGAACCAGTGCCCATATGGGATGCCTGCGCCATTGCGAAGACTTAGCCTACTAGCCACAGTGCCAGCCCCAAGTGTTGTATTTTCTATTAAGCTTCAAGGAGGCATTGTCTTCGTGCCAGATCTCTGAAGGGTTAGGAAGCACCATCTACCAGGGACTTTCAGTAATTCGTGTGCAGGTGAGGTTCTCCTAAGAGCTTTCGAAACCGGGCAGGAGGGCTTTGCTCATCACTTTGATGGGTTTATAGCTCCCTCAATCTCAAGGAAGGCGATCCTTGCAAATGGAAAATACTTCATTTTTTGCGATATTAATATCTTTGTTTTCAAGAAAAATAGTATATATGTATACACATATAATGTCCACATTTGAGGTTAATGTGGCCAAATGTTAAAACACCATCAAATTTCAAAATTAAAAAAACAGAATTTTTTTCACCCTGTTTTAACCCTGGGCTACACAATGGGCTGAAAAATGTGACTTGAGAGAGACTCGCTCTAGTACACTCATGCCGCTGCCTTGGGTAAATCGGGAACTAGGTGTCGTCTTCCAAGTCTTCTCAAGACTTGACTTCCTCCTCGAAGCTCCCGCCGGCCAAGCGATTGGTCTGAAGCAGCCGCTCAACTCCGTCCAACACCCTTTTCCCTTTCCTCTGGGAGTTTTGGCCGCGCCCACTCCTCGGGTGTCTCCAGGCTTTGCTGGGGACGCCTCCACGCGGTGCCCGTCGCTGAGGGTGCGGCCTGGGGACCCTCTCCTCGCGTCGGGGCTCCGCTGGTGTCCCTGGAAGCAGAGGCGGAGGCCAGAGTCCGGTGTCCAAGGGAGGCAGAGCGGGCGCTTTCGTACGTCCTGCCGCGTTCCCTCCAAGTTCCAAGCCCTGCACCTGGCGGCGGCAGAGACGCGCCAGGCTCCCAAGGAACCAAACACCTGGGGAAAATCAACTCGGAGCCTGCTGCCCTCCCGCCCCTCCCGCTGGGGATGTTTATCTTGGCCTGGTCTCCTGGCTCTTTCTCTTTCACTTTTCCTTTCGCTGGGGGTTGGGACTCCCAGGGTGGAGGGCGGCAGGGGAGATCCCATCTGACTCGCTCACTGCCCTCGGACGCCCCTCGCCCGGGAAGGGGGGCAGGTGGCCGCACTCCGGGTTGCACGAGCTGCCGCCCGTCCACATTGTACCCGGCACTTGACAGAGGTACAGGACTCTGTTCCCAGGCTCTGGGACGGGAGGTGGTAGGGAGATGGAATTTTCCCCCTAAAGCCTACGCCCTGGGCCCCTCCCAGCCGCGGCGCTACTAACACGTCTCTCCGGCCCAGCCACCAGCCGACCGCCCCACCCTCTTGACCGCGACTAAAGTTTTCCCGGCGCTACGTGCAGAAGTTTTGTTCCCGTCTGCCGCTTCATTCGTCTCCTGGGTTCTCTTTGCCACCCTCCGGCGTCCAGAGGAGCGCAGATCGCCGCGTCCCGTTGGCCGTTGCGCGCGGTTCCCAGCGCGCTGCGCTCACTCCGCGTTCCTGGCTGCGGGTGCCGCTGCGCCCTGCGCTCCACGGACTTCGAGGCCGCCTGGCCCAGGGTGAGGGGTGCGCGTCTGGCTGCGGCCGCTAAGCTGTTGGCTTCTGAGAAGAGTGGTCTGGCAGAAAGGTCAAGAAAGGTACCGCAGCTCCGGGCTTCCTCCCCGCCCCCTCTCCAACTCCCTGACTCCCCGCGGGAACCTGTGCGTGCGTGCGTGCGTGCGTGCAAGGTAAAATTCCTGCCTCTCTGATTGCGACTAGTCTTCTAGGGAGAGAAATTTGCCGCAATAATCGCTACTTGGCAATCAGGCCTCCTGGGTGTATATTAGTTCCAAATCCGCACAAGCCACTTATTTCTTAGAAAAGTAACATCTGGAACAACAGAATGACTTGAGAGAAATGCGAGCGAATTGTATTGATATAAAACCCAAATCCTTATTCACGATGGCTTTAAATGAAAATCCAGCTAATTTTTTTCTAGTGCTATTAAGTCTGCGTGGTGTTAGGGCATACACTTTAACACACAATTTGAATTTAATTATGCAAGTCCATGCATTTAAAATGATTTAGACTTCAAAGTATGTGTAAAACAACATAATTCTTAAGTGCTGCTTATAGTAGATTCTTCCATAGGATGAGTCAGAAGTTGAAACTGGAAGCAAAGTGGCTATCACCAGCTGTTTTCCACTACGTATCTTTTAATTACTTTTTTTTCCTAAAGAAACCTTTTATTTAAGGAATACAAACTTCATGCATTTCTTAAGTACAACTTTAGGAATATAGTGATTCTTCCCACCATACCTGCCCTCCCACCCACTCTTCCACCCCTCCGCCTCCTCCCAGTGCTGGTAATGTCCACTTGACATTGTGGAGAAATTGGCTGTATTGATCAGTGGGAACTGTTGAGTACCTGTTGCAGAATAAACAGGTGGGGATCTGCTATGTGTCTTCTAAGCAGGGGCTGCAAGGGGAAGCATTCAATTAAAAACAGCAAGATGCAATACACATTAAAATTAAAACTGTCATTTTCTTAAATAGCAGTGTAGTGGGCATGATAGGGTACCGAGGAAGGGACAGGGATATATAGAAAGGAGAGGGCTGAGGACCAAGCAGTAACCATTTCAAAATCAGAAAGTAAGTAAATATAAAGCTAAGTTTAACCCAAGAAGCATCAGAAAACTCCTAAGGTTTTTCATGATTGCATCTTAATGTCATATCCTGTTACAAGAGGTCTTCAAAAAGTTTATTGAAGTTGTGTATTATGAAAAATATATGCATGGATTTCAAAGTGGGTTTTCTTTTTACACCAAAAAATAAACTTATCTTTTAATTCTGTTTTCCCACGAACTTTTAAAAATACCTTTGTATTTCTCTGTTTTCTCCTGTCAGAGTTTTAATCAAACTCAGGAGGGCGGCTCCTGCAGGGGCTCCTGCTGTGCAGCAGTGGCAGCAGGTGTTAGGTTGGCCCCTGGTCCAGAACTTCTAGTGGGAAAGCTGTTTCCTTACCTTTGGCTGCATTGCTGTCTGCTGATTTGTAATGACAACTCCAGAATCTGAAGGTGTGGTTGTCTTGGAAGTTTCCTGCAGATTACTGATAGGTTTAAGAACAATTATGTGTTTTGTTTTTGTTTTATTCCTTGAAATTAACATAGCCGGTGTCAACAGTACCTTTCAAGGCAATGTTTATCAATTAAATGTGTATTTATAATGTATTTATCAACTAAATTGGGGGGGCAGAGAAAAGCAATGGTTTAAAATTTTTGGAATAAATTTTGCAAATTGAATATTTTACTTTAGGAAAGTCCCTGTCTCAAATTTGGTGACCTTGATGGATTTGAGGAAGGCTGGAAAAGGAACCAGTATAGTGGTGTGTGTGTGTGTGTGTGTGTGTGTGCATGTGTGCATGCACGCAAAGGCACCCAGATGGGTGTACACAATTCTCTGAGGGAAGTATCTGTATAACTCTGATCAGATTTTTAAATGAGGCTCTGGCCCCAAACAGTTGTAAACCTTTTTAAAACTCCTAAGACTGTTTTTTTTTCTTCCTCTCTCTCCCATAGTTTACTGCTTTTTCTTAAAAAAAAAAAAAAAGATTTATTTATTTTTTTATTTGAAAGGTACAGTTACAGAGAGGCAGAGGCAGAGAGATCTTCCATCTGCTGGGTCACTCCTCAAATGGCCACACTGCCCAGAGCTGGGCTGATCTGAAGCCAGGAGCCAGGAGCCTCTTCCAGGTTTCCCATGTGGGTGCAGGGGCCCAATCACTTGTGCCATCTTCTATTGTTTCTCAGGCTACAGCAGAGAACCGGATCAGAAGTGGAGCAGCAGAGTCTCAAACCGGTGCCCATATGGGATGTCGGCATTGCAACAGGCAGCTTTATCCACTGTGCCACAGCACCAGCCCCTAGTTTACTGTTAAGTTCTGTTCATTGTGTTAAGTATTTTTCTGAAAGTTAGTTAATAATAATACAGAACACTTTCTCTAGACACACAGCTTGAATTACAAGAAATAATATATAGTCGCCAAAACCTATTAAGTTCTTGTTTGGTACCATATATTGCACTAAGCATGCATTTTTAAAACTTACCATAGTGAACTAATGTGCTAGAGACTATATGTTTTTATCCTTATTTTATCTTTGTATTATTTAAGCATTTTATTGAAATACAGTATACATACAAATAAATGCACATAAGTGTACAGATAAATGAATTTTTTGTCAGCTGAGCACACTCACAACCAACACCCAAATTAAGAACAAAACATTACTTGTATCCCAAGAGTACTTACTATTTCCCCCTCTGCATTTCTTTGCTTTTTTTTTATATTGTCATTTACATGGTATGATTCAATGAAGCAATATTTAAAACTAAATACCAAATAATAAGATATCCACACACATTTATATTATATATTAACTTCTACAAATAAGAGAAAACATGCTAATATTTGTCTGTTCTGACTTGGCTTATTTCACTCAGTACAATGATCTCTAGCTGTATTCTTTCTGTTGCAAATGTCACAATTTCATTATTTTTAATGGCTGAGTGATATTCCATTGTGTGTGTATGCCACATTTTATTTAGTTATTCAGTTGATGGACAGACTTCTAGGTTGATTCCATATCTTAGCTATTGTGAATTGAGCTGCAGCAAACATGGGAGTGCAGGTATCAGTGTTTTGTAATTGAAGAAACTGAAATATAGAGTAGCTAAATAACTTTCCCAAGGCCATGGAGCTAGAAAGTAATGGAACTGGGATTCCAACTTAGATAGACTTAAGATTGCTGATATTTGTGGAGACTGATTTTGTTTCCATAGAAATATTTCTCACCATCTGTCTGTGACAGTCAACCACTGTATCATTTTACAATAGTGTTATGATGGAATATTGGTAGTAGGTGATTCTTGTATGGTACTTGTTTAACTGATATTATTGATTGTGTACTTAAAAATGAAAATCAAATTATATTCATGTGATTAACTGTATGTGTTTGGTTCCTTGGAGAAATTTCTTTTATTGCCCCTGAGTGAACTTGTCTAACATGAATCCCTTTCTACCGACAGCGTTCAGTCAGTAGTAAGCAACTATATACTGATCAGTGTTTGTCTCTCTGTCTGTCTACCTAGTATTTGAGGGGAGATTAGACCAGTCCTTCTCACTGTATCACAACTGGAGGTGGGGTAGTTCACCATCTGGGAAGTTCTCTTTCTAAAAAGAGTTTACAATAGTTGGGTTGGCAAGAAGCCAATGGCTTTCTTCACTTGAACCTTAGGTCTGAAGCTTTACCCAATGATAGCTGTTTTTCCAAGATTGTTACAGTTGAACATTGCTAACATCCTTGCTATTTTCCTATTTGAATGATTTACCTGGGAAAATTCCATAGGCAAATTGAGAAACAATTTGTGGTTTTAGCAAGTACTGGAATATATTAACTAACAACTAGTTGATGGTGAGTTTCATTAATAATTGTCAAATATATATGTAGTTGTATTGTATGCATTTATATATACTGTATGTGCATATATTTACATAATATATATAAAGGTTATATGTTAAGACTATAATATATATATAAAACATATATATCTACGGATTTTATATATACTGAACCACTTATCAAAGAATGTGAACATATATAAGGAATTTTTTTTTTACAGTTTCTAGACTGTATTGAATGGGGAAGCAAGAGTAACCAAGAAGTCTTAGTAGAAGGACTAAGTAGTAAGTTACTGTTATTCACAATGTCCCAGTTGGAACTTCAGGTGAATCTGAAACTTAAAAAAGGAAGCCCCTGCTATGTCTTCGATACCGCATTGGCCATTCATCTACTTGCCCTCACTGAATTCTAACCACCATTGCATTTTTTTACATAGTTTATATTTTAATTTAACAGATTAATTTAATTAAACAGATTAGGGGTGTTTTGTAGATACAGTTCTAAGAACATTATGATTTTCCATTCCTTCCTCCCTCCCTTATCTGCACTCTATACAAAAAAAGTTAATACAGGCAGGCAGTTTCTTTTGGATTAAGACACAACTAGTAAGGCATTCTGTGGAGAGCTTTATTTATGTATTTGTTTGTTTGTTTATTTAAGAGGCAGAGAGGGAGACTGTGTGCTCCCAGGATCATTCACTCTGCAGTGCCTGAGAGCCAGGAATGCATTCCAAGTTTCCCAAGAGGGTGGCAGAAACCTCACTGGTTGAGTCATCACTACTGCTTTCCAGCATCTGCGTCAGCATAGCAGGGAGCTACAGTCATGAGCCAGAGCAGAGTACTGAACCTAAGTACTCCTATATGGGACATAGAAGTTTTTTTTTTTTTTATAAAATTCTTTTTTTTTTTTTTTTATTTTTTATTTTTTGACAGGCAGAGTGGATAGTGAGAGAGAGAGACAGAGAGAAAGGTCTTCCTTTGCCGTTGGTTCACCCTCCAATGGCTGCCGCGGCCGGCGCGCTGCGGCCGGCGCACCGCGCTGGTCCGATGGCAGGAGCCAGGAGCCAGGTGCTTTTCCTGGTCTCCCATGGGGTGCAGGGCCCAAGCACCTGGGCCATCCTGAACTGCACTCCCTGGCCACAGCAGAGGGCTGGCCTGGAAGAGGGGCAACCGGGACAGAATCCGGCACCCCGACCGGGA